GCCTGCCCACAAACTTTCCCCGGCGCTGACGGTCCAGCGCTTCGCTCCCCCCAACTTTCCCCTGCGCCGACGGCCAAACGCTTCGCCCCCCGCTACCCCGGGCGGCTGAACCAACGTGAATTGACCTCCAGCCTAGTACTAGGCTGGAGGTCTACAGACTACTACCCGGCCTTTCGGCCGGGTGTGTCTTGTGTTTACTGCTACACTCAAGGACGCTCTTACTCAGAGTTTATTACTCTGCGGTTGGATTACTCAAGTTCGTCGAAGCTGGATTACCATCACGCCCGTTTGAAGCCACGGCTTACACCGATCCACGTCACATCTTACGCAGCTCACAGATGGGACCCCCCTCGACTTAGCGATCGCCGAGGAGTACCGCCACCCACTACTACCCGTTGTCAGACTGGATTCCCCGAAGGAAACCTTAATGGCTCCACCATACTTTGTACGGTGTTTCGCATACCGCCGTTGCCCAACTAGGTGATGTAACGACTTCTTCACTACAGTGCCGAAGCATTTACCGCAAGCATCCAGTTTACAGACCAAGAGCCGCTCAAGTCCCCTCGACTTCTCATGCATCACCAATCTCTCCACCCAGAGTGACCTGCTTGTCGTGGGCGGGGATCGAACCCACGACCTCTGGGATGGAACAATGGCCCACCGACCACTGCACCATTCGGGACTGGAATTTTCAAGATCGGAGAAGTCCCGTTTGGGGTTGCACAGTGTTTTCGCTATACTTGTATTTGTATGGGCCGGGCCCCGGATCTGGTTTATCCATTTGTATGGACTGGGTCCTTGAGACTGGATTAACCCACTCTTCACTCCTCTTTAGTTTAGCCATAGCCATTTAAACTAGCTAGGCACATTGCAGAATTAAAGTGTAATGAAATTTGATTCTCTGCGAAGTTAAGCAGCCTCAAGCTCGGGTAGTACTCGGGTGGGTGACCACCGGGGAAGTCCGGGTGCTGTCTACCTTTTTGCTGGTATTTGCCTCACACACACACACTTTTGCTTGTTGCGTTTGACGAGTTATAACTTTTGCCCCAGGGCGAATTGGAGAGTGTTACTTTGTGTGGGGGTACATCAGACGGTGTACTACACATATATGTGGGGTGGTCCACTCCAACTCCAACAGGGTACCATATATGTGGCACACCCACTATTTTAGAAGTTCGTTTATACTGGCTTCCAGTATGGAGTCTCACCTGACCCCGGCATCGGAAGGGGGGTTCTGAAGGGTGCTCTTTCAGATGCCGGACCGGTAGCACGAGAACGGGCAGTCCTACCCTATCATACGGCATGGGGTTATGCACAAACAGGGTTTGCTATGTAAAAGGGGCAACATGAAGTGACTCGTCTCTATCTCCGGGTGGGATATAAGTTTTCGAGGGTGCCCTTTCATGTCCCGACCTCGGATCAAGAGACGGGGCAGTGGAACCCTCTCAAACTGAATATGCTTTTTTCAGGTGGTATTCTGGGCACGCTCTAGACAGGACACATGTGAGTGCCCATCTGGCTAACCCGGTGGGATATAGGTTTTCGATGGTGCTCTTTCACGTCCAGGGGTCGGGTAAGGCCAGATGTTATGGGAACACTGCGAAACTTTATAATTTAAAGGGAATTTTATGTTATCCAGAACCACTTTAGCCTCGTCTTTGTCGAGCTCGGTATAGGGGTATTTCGACCCGCTCTTTCACGTGGTTAGGTCATATTTTATGTACAACCCGTACTTTTTATGTTACCGAGTATTTTTTATGTGACATATGTTTCAGATGCGCGCGAACGTGAGAAAGCCGAATCTGAAAACAGATGTTGAAAATTTTAAAAATTCGAAAAGTTATTCAAAATTTTCGAAAAACGCTAAAATTTCGCACACGTTTTTGCCCATATCTCAAAAACGGTGCATTTTCAGCCGGAGCCACTATGCTCATTGGATTCCCCGCGCGATTTTACGTCTAGGGGGCTAGGGTCACAAGGCTGAATCGAAAGTCGGTACTTTCGGATTTTGACATGTGAGCTATCCCAGAACCTCGAGTGATCTTGCTACTTGACATCGGTCGTCACCCCGGCCCAAAAAGTGGTACCCGCAACACCGATTAGTCACTTCCCGTGCACGTAGCCCCGCGAAAATTGGTGAGCATATACTTCTAACTATAAATTTTCGAAAACTTGAGGGTAGAAATGTGAGCCTCCAAAATTGAATAAAAAAATTGAGTATAAAGTTTTGAAAATCCCAAAAATTAGAAATTCTAAATTTGAAAGTCTAAATTTAGAGTTAGGTCTCATGTCTTTGTACATTTAGGGGTTTTTCTTTGCGCTCTTTCCGATGGGCTAGGTGGCAAATCCTAGTTCCTAAAAATGAAGTCAGTATTCTAAATTTACTACTAAGCGAAATATCACAGTAGGTATTGACATTTTTCAACATATCTTTGTACGGGCAGGTGCCTTTTTTCACGCGCTATCCGGTAGTATAAATTCCAGGTTCGAAATTTGACAT